GGGCCACGTCCTCGCGGCGCTCGGGGCTGGGGGTCGTGGTGGGGGTCGGAGGGGGTGGGATCTCATGTGTGCGTAGGGGATGTGTGTGATGGCGTGTGTGTGTGTTTGTGTGTGTGCGAGTGTGTGTGTGCGTGCGTGTGTGTGTGTGTGTGTGCATGTGTGTGTGTGTGTGTGTGTGTGTGTGCATGTGTGTGTGATTGTCAATACTGCCGAAACCTTGGGTTGCCGCACCGAATCCACAACCTGGAACCCAGCAAGAGCACCGCACTCTGTCAAGGGCACACGATCCGAATCGTGCACATAGGCACGCCCATACAAAGAAAATCCATACGCACACAAGCACGCGCGCACACAACCACACAACTGCAACGCTGGACATTAAGAATGCACGACCCACGCACGCGCACGCACAACACACACACAAAAACACACACACACACACACACACACACACACACACGCAAATCATGCGCACCTGAACCTGTCCGGGTCGAACGCCTTGCCGTCGGTGAACCCCTGGTGGCAGGCCGACACGATGTCAGGGATGATGAAGGCCCCCTTGGGGGCGGTGTACGCCTCGTTCAGCTTGAACGGCCGCATGGCCACCTGGGGGGTCAAGGGAGAAGGATGAGAAGGGGGGACGAGAGGCGAGAGCGCTTCGGAATGATGGCAAGGGATAAGGGGTGTCGCCCTGCCGCCGGCGGGCCGGATTCTAGGGTCAATCTATGTGATTTGAGAACCGGTGATGCTTGCGTCATGACGAATCGACAGGCCAATCGGCTGCCGGATGGGCGCCCATGCTGTTTAAGATCAAGGCAACCCTGCCCCCTTGGCGACACACACACACATACACACACTTAAACACACATTCTTTTCCAGATTCACACCCAAAACCAACACCCACACGCCGACACACGACGCTGTACCTGCGGCACCATGGGTGCGGGCGGCCTGAAGCGCAGCACCTCCTTGACCACCTGCCGCGTGAAGGGCAGGTCCGACAGCACCTCCCCGCTGAGGGTGCGCGCCAGGTCGGGCCGCACCGCCAGCTGCTCCTGTGGGGGTGGCAACGGGTGGGCGGGTGGAAGGGCGGGGTAGGGGTGAGAGAGGGAGAGAGGGAGAGCCTGCATATGTATGTGTGTGTGCACGACTGTGTGTTCGTATGAGTGTGTGTGTGTTAACGTGTGTGCTTGTGTGCGTGCGTGTGCGGAGGCGACAGGTCAAGCAGGCCACTCGTCAGCTGGCGGCCGAGAAGTCCGCGTTCTGTGCGCAGTGGCGTGGCGGCCAGCTGGACTCTTCAGCATGGATCTTGTAAGACCTAAAGAGGATCAAGATCCTGGCTGGATCAGGTTCACAAATCTCTTAATCTTGCCCTGCTGACCTGGCGGACCCTCTCCAGGATGTCTGGGTGCTCCGCCATCTGAGTCAGCGTCCAGATGAGGCTCGCGGTGGAGGCGTCCTGGGCAGTGGGATTTGTGTGTGTAGTGAAGTGGATGAGGGCGGCGTGTGTGTGTGTGTGTGTGTGTGTGTGTGTGTGTGTGTGTGTGTGTGTGTGTGTCAGCGCGAATTTGTGTGTGCATGCAAGTGACACACACACACACACCAACATAAAAACGCACACTCAACGAAAAAAACCACACACCCAAACATATACACACAAGCCTGTGCCTCTGCGCTGGCGCACCTGGCTGGCAAACAGGAAGTCCATCACCGTGTAGGCCATCTCAATGTCCGATGAGTAATGGGGGTGGGGGCTGCCCGCCGCGTCCGCCTCCTTGGGTTGGTTGACCAGGGAGAGGGAGTCAATAGGAGCAAAACAGCCATCCAGGTGTATTTCGGTCCGAGAGCTTCCCAAATGTGCGGGCCACGCCGGCCATTGCCTTGAGAGTTCCGGCGAGCCCACAGGTGTCAGCACCCTGCAAGAATTCCAATTTCTGCGAACACAACGCCGGCCACCGGCAGCCACAGGAAGGACATCCGTTCATCTCCCGCCCCTGGACAGAAAGACACGGCCCCGATCCCCCCCGCTCACGTCGCACTCTGCGTTGATCTGCTGACTCCAGAAGTCGAGGAGGCACCCGGGCTCCCGCCCGGCCCGCATGGCTGCCTTGCTGCGCGCAGAGGCGCCCTCCAGCACCTGCAGCGTGCGGCGTGTTGGCATGCGCCAGTGGTTGCATTGGTGCGTGTTCGTGTGTGTGCGCACGTGTGTCTTGACGATATAGACAGGATGAAGCCGGGGGGCATGCAGGGGGAGACATGGCCGGCCAGACGTTACACGGCCCAGCGAAGGCTCAGCTGCTGTGCGCATTCCCACAGACGGCCTGCGTCGCTACCTCTTCTGCCCAACGACCCCAGAGCTCGGCTTCCCCTGCTGTGCCGCCACCCAATTTCCGCGCTGCGGGCCCGCATCACACGTTCCGCGGCTAGCCGCCTGGACCCTGGGCCCCCATCACGCGTCGCCCCCGACCCCTCCCCCGCTTCCGCCCGCACCCGCCAGCCTGCCTGTGTAGCGTGAAACGCCGCATGTCACCCTGGGCCCTTTCCGCACCTTGATGACGTACTGCCGCCCCTTCATGGCGCGCCAGACCGCGGTGCCCGGGAACTTCAGCGGGAACGCCAGGAAGCCGTCAGTCATGGCGCGGTAGCGGACACCGAATTCGGTGCGCACCTCTGGATCATCCAGGTAGGGGCCTGGGGTTGGTGTTGGGATGGATTGTGTGTATGTGTGTGTGTGTTGTGTGCAAGAGTATATGTGTGTGTGTGAGGGAGAGGGAGAGAAAGAGAGAGAGAGACAGCACGGGGGGAGAGAGAGAGAGAGAGAGTGTGTGTGTGTGAGTGTGTGCCAGTGTGGCCATGCTGACAACAAGCAGCCTTGAAAGAGCGCAATTGCCAGGCGACCACGACAAAACCAGCGAGGGCGGCGCGAGGAGCGCCCCCAACTGTGTTGGGCTCGACCATCGTGACAGGGGGCAGGGGACCTTTGGCGCCCCAGGCACACGCAACGGGGACTCCGATCACCCCGGAGCGGCAGGCTCGAGAGCCACCCCACAGGCCACGCCGCACAGGCGGATGGGGGGAGAGAAAACATGCAGAACAAAAAGATTACGCCACCTAGTTTGGAGACCTTTTTGTGCGCCTCACTATTCGAAAGATTTTCAAACTCACCCAGGAAGACGCTCTGGCTGGTCTCGGCATTCATCGCCCAAACCAGCTGCCGCATCTCAGTGGGGCTGCCGCTGCCCGCGATCTTGAGCCACTCGGCCTGTCGCGGCAGACGGCGGGGGGCGTTTGGGTGCAAGAGTCAGCAGTGATCCATTTTCAAGGGGGGAGATGCAAATGCCATTGCCTTGCATTGCATTGCAACACGGTACATTGCATTGCAGATTGCGGCTTCGTAGCAGGGTGTGCAATGGCTGCCCACGAGGAACATTTGACGAAAACACACACACACACACACACACACACACACACACACACACAAATGCAATACGCATACACACAACAGCCACACACGTACACACACAAATGCGATACGCAAACACAACACACACACACACACACACACGCGCGCGCGCGCGCACCACGTGCTGCCGGATGATGGCGTCCTGCTTGACCACGTATGAAGACAGCGCCTTGCGCGTGAACAGCGCCAGGAACGACCTGCGGGGGCAATCGAAGGGCACAGATGTGAGTTCAGCGCAATCGTGACTCAAAGACACAGGTTCGATCCTGCACGTCAAACGCCAACATGCACCACAATATTCGACTCACGCATGCACCACAATTTTCAAGCACACGCACTCACGCTGGTACTGCAACCACACACACACACACACACACACACACACACACGCACACAAACACACACGCACGCACACATATAAAAGGGCACGCGCGCCGCCAGCGAGTCCCCCCGCATACAACACCCGCCGCACAGTGCCAAAGCACGCGCCTCCTCGCTGCGCCGAAGCGGCCCCGCTCCCCAGTTGCGCCCGGCCCCCCTCTGCCCCGGCGCCCTCAGCCGTGCCAGCGCATTCCCCTTACTTGCGGAGGGCCTTGTGCTGGGGGCCGTGCATGAATGCGATGTTGCGAGTCCCGAGGATCATCTTGGCGTTGGGGTGCAGGTCAAGGAGAAGGGTGTCCTTGCTGGAAGGGTGGGGCGGGACATAGTAAAGGAGATAGTTCAAGATATAGTTTGGGAGATGGGTTTGGTACAAGTGACAGAAAGAGTGTGTGTGTGTGTGTTAAGGAGGGGGGGCCTTGCTGGGAGGGTGGGGTGGGAGGTAATGATGAAGATACTTTGCGTTGTGTGTGTTTGTGTGTGTGTGTGTGTGTGTGTGTGTGTGTGTGTGTGTGTGTGTGTGTGTGTTTGTGTGTGTGACCAGGAGCAGGGTGTCCTTGCTGGGGGTGTGGTACACCGAGAGATTGATAGATTAAAAGACCAATTGCCATACAGACAGACGAGATACACAGATGAAGGCTGAGCACACGGGGCTGCCTGCCCCACGTGTCGGGGTGCGGAGCAGCTTGGCAGCTGCCAAAGCACAGCGCCGCCCAGGAGGTGATTCCAAATCACTGGGTATCTGACTGAGACGGAGGCGTGCGCCTTTTTGATCACAAACAGCAGCGAGGTTTTGAGGTGGACAGCTGCGCAAAGCAGGGCCTCACCTGTTGTGGTTGAACACGTGCCGAATGGTGGCCGGGTCCGTCACCATCACCGTGAACTTCGTCACGATGCTGTTCCACGACAGGCCTGCGGCGACGATGACGTCATGCAGCGTCAGCATGACCCCGATCCGCCAGACGGGCCCAGAATCCCCCTCTCCTGGGCTGCTCCCTCTCGCGCATCCGCACCCCGAACCATCACCCCCTGCTGACCGGCCCCGCGCGTGGACCCAGGACCGCGCCCGCCCGCGTGCCACGGCCAGCCCCGCGGGAACGCGCGCACCTGGAAAGGCATACGCGCGCTGCTTCTCCCAAAACGCGTGCGGGTCCTTCACCATCGCCACGATGCCGCCCAAGAATGGCACTGTGGCGGCGGGGCCTGCGTAGCGCGTGCATGTTGGGTCGCGGGGGCGTTTCGGGAAGCAAGGCAGGGACGTCGGCTGCTGCAGTGGCTGTAGCGCCCGGGGGCTGTAGCGGACGCTGCGCGGACGCTGAAAACCAACACTGGCGCCCAGCTACTGCAGGGCCGCTGTTGCACGCTGTGCAGCTGCCCCGCAGCTGCCGCCAGGGCCCAGGCAAGACGCGCCGAACGCGACGCCGCCCGCCGGCGCCTCGGCCCCGCGGCCGCCGCGGCCGCGCTCGCCTTCCGACCCTCGCGCCCGCGGCCGCGGCGGCAGGGCGGGCGCGAGCTCTGCGCCGCGACCGCGGGATGTGACAACGCACCTGGCAGGCTGCCGTCGCGGCCGATGCGGGAGACCCTGAATTTGACCTGCTCCAACAGGGCCAGAAGGAAGATGGCCGCGACGCTCCAGGTCAGCACGCTGCCAGCTGGCGGCAGCGTTGTGGGGATCTTCTCGATCAATGCGGCGAAGGGGTCGGCCTGGGGGGGATGAGGGGTCGGGAAGAGGGGGTGGGAG